CTCAAGGTGTAGGCCCTGAGTTCAAGCTCTAGTACCACAAAAAAGAAAAAAATAATAAATAATAAATATTGTTCTGCTATTTTCGCATTAGTTTAACCTCCCAGCTTTTTCTGTACATCTCTGCACACTCACAACTTTATATTCATTAATTCACTTACTCAGTTAATAAGAAATTTAAAAAATACTAGTGGAAGTTAGGCTGTAATCCTAGTTACTCAGGAGGCAGAGATCAGAAAGATCCCGACTCAAAGCTAGTCCAGGCAAGTAGTTCACAAGACCCTATCTCAAAATACCCGACACAAAACAGGAGACTGGAGAAGTGACTCAAGTGGTAGAGCACCTGCCTCACAAGTGTGAGGCCCTGAGTTCAAGTCCCAGCAATGACAAAAAAGGAAACCCTACTGGGCTTGAATATTCAATGGTACTTCCCCAGGCCCCAGGTGCCCCTGTCTGAATTCTCCCCAACTCTCTCCAGACTCAGAGGGACAAGGTCTGCCCTTGCTCCACCTGGGGCTTCCTTCTACCACCTCCCATGTCCTCCAGGATGGAAACAATCTCTCCATTAGCTTCAACTCTATATTTTCCCCCACTTACTCATCTGTGCCCCCCAAATCCTATAAATGTGCTCCCTTGGTCCTAGTCTCCAGCAGTCACTGTTTTTTCTCTTTGCATTCTCTGACAACATCATTAGGAAGGGAGAGTTCCCACTTCCTCACCTCTCCTTCACTCGTACCCATCATGGCTCCTTAGAAGCTCTCTAGCTGCGATGGCCACACAGGTGGGAGCAGATGCTCTGGAACTTGTGTGGAGGATTCTCGCTGCCCGACAGCTTCCAGATCCCACATGATTTTGTCTGCAGCCCTAAGGCCATGCTCCATACCTGCCCTCCCTACCCCACAGGCCATGGTGGACGCGGATTGGGCACTAGAGTGGAGCTGGGTCTGCTGTAGGGAGGATCCTAGAGTTATGGGAAACCTAAGGGAGTCCTCACCAGCCTGGCTGAGACTTTCTCAGAGATCAGTGTGAGCCTCACCCTACTCAGTCCTCCTTCCTTGGCTCTCTCCTCTTATGAAACTCAACCTGGATCCCATCACGATCTGAAGGCCCTGCCCGCCTACTCCTGCTGACTCTCTTTTATCTTCCTCAGGCACTGCCATAAAAACCTCATGCATGCCCAATCTTGTCTGGGCCTCTTCTTGGAGGATTTGAACAGAGCAACGGTGATCGTCAACCTTCCCAGCTGCCAGAACCTGTGGACTGTCTTCTGTTGCTTTGTGAGGTTACACAATGTTGAACTCTCTGATTGCATTTCAGATTGTTTTTCTCCCACAGTTTCCATGACACCATGTTTCCTAAATCCTCTCTTTCCTCCTTTCTTCTTGTGGCCTCTTCCTTCGACAAGCAACCCTTAAATACTGGCCAGCGCCAGTGGCTCACACCTGTAATCCCAGCTACTCGGGAGCCAGAAATCAGGAGGATCGAGGTTCAAAGCCAGCCTGGGCAAATAGTTCAAGAGACCCTATCTTGAAAAAGTCATCACAAAAAAAAAGGGCTGATAGACTGATTCAAGGTGTAGTCCGTGCATTCAAGCTGCAGCACAGCAAAAAAAAAAAAAAAAAAAAAAAAAAAATCTGTCTCTGGCCCTTTATTTTTTTCTTTCCACACATTGTCTCAATGTGTGGATATAACTGAGTACCAATCATTTTAAGCAATGTCATTGATGATGACTCTCAAACCTATTCCACTTGAATGATTTAAGCCAAAAGCACTGACTTTGGCCTTGACCCTACTCACCTGTGTTCTCCTAGTGAGTAGCATCACTTTCTACAGACCACCCACAAGCAAACTCCTTTTCCATTACACCCAGATCTAATTGGAGACTTGCCATCCTGTCTTCAAAATGTTTTGTAGCTGTCTCTTCCACTCCAATGCCATGAGTGATAGCCTCAGTTTGAGCCTTCATCAACTTTCACTGAGATTTTCGAAATGATACCTTCGATAGTCTTCCTTCATCTAGCCTCCCTCCTCTCCTAACACATTGTGGGCACAGGGCTCTTCCTAAAATGCAAATAGATCAGTGAGAGGCAGAACAAAAGAGTGCAGGCTTCAGCTTAAAATGAGTTCAGGTTCGAATCCTGGCTATCATTTATTGCTTGTATGACTATGGTCAATCACCTACTGTTTTTCCGGCCTTAGTTACTTCTTTTAAAAAATAAAGATAATAGGGATATGGGTCAAGAGGTAGAGCACTTTTCTAGCAGGCACAAATGCCCTGGGTTCAATTCCCAGTACTGCAAAAATAACAATAATAATAATATATTAATAATAATAGCCAGGGACTAGAGATTAGCTTGTGGTAGAGCATTACAAGTCCCAAGTTTGATGCACAGCACTGCAAAATAGTAAATAAATAAGTAAACAAACAAATAAGTAGCATCTACCACATAGAATTGTTGTGAAGATTAAATAATGAGTGAAAGGTGCTTAGTACAGATACGTAGCTAAAATTTTTTTTTAACTAATATAATTTAAAAAAATTATAATTGTCCTTTGGTAGCTGCAGGATTCCAGATACCCCTACAGATTCCAAAATCGTAAGACTCTCGAGTCCCTTATATAAAATGGCATAGGACCCAGAACAGTGTTTCATGCCTCTAATCCCAGCTACTCTCAAGGTAGAGATCAGGAAGATCATGGTTCAAGGCCAGTCCAGGAAAAAAAAGTTAGCAAAACTCCGTCTCAGTAAGCTAAGAGTGATGGTATGCTTCTGTAATTCCAACTAGGTGGGAGGCAGCTGAGGCTGGTCCCAAGCAAAAGCATGAGATCTGAAAAATAACTAAAGCAAAAAGGGCCAGAGGTGAGACTCAAATAGTAGAGTGCCTGCCTAGCAAGCAAGAAGCTCTGAGTTCAAACACCAGTACCACCAAAAACTAATAGTAATAAAATAACATAATATTTGCATATAACCTATGCACATCTTCACATATACTTTAATCTCTAATACAACTCAAATGCCATGTAAATAGTTGCTAAACTATATTATTTAGGAAAAATGACAAGAAAAAAGTCTGAGCATGGTCAGATGTAAATACAGATATAATTTTTTAAAAAAATATTTTCAAAGTGTGGGTGTAGCACTGTAGAGATGGAGGGTCAATTGTGTTACTATTGTCACTCCATTCTTTCTAAAACATCAATGGAAATCAGGCATGGTGGCACGTGCCTATGCTCCCATACCTGGGAGGAGGACAGACTTTGAGGCCAACCTGGCCTACATAGCAAGAGCCTACCTCTAAATCAATCAATCAGAAAATCCATGCAGGGATTTACACATGAGTGTAGCTCAGTGGTAAAGCTCTTGCCTATTATGTATGAGACTCTGGGTTTGATCCCAGCACTGAGACAAATAAAATAAATTCCAAAACCCACAAAAACTTCAGTGGGTCCCCAGTGTTTTTTTCATGTGCTAAGAAATGAACCCAGGGCCTGACACATGGTAGGGAGGTGCCCTACCCCTGAATTATACTTCCAGCCTTCAATGTTATAGTGATTAAAGTCAACACCCTTAGCCTAGTCTGACTTCTGCCTCTGTTCCCTGTCCTCTGGCAGGCACTTCTCAAACTCCACACTTCAGTCCCAGTATCTAGGCCGATTGCATTCCAAGGAAAAGTGAGCTGGGCACTGGTGGCTCACGCCTGTAATCCTAGCTACTCAGGAGGCAGAGATCAGAAGGATCATGGTAGGAAGCCAGCCTGGGGAAATAGTTCCTGAAACCCTATTTCGAAAAAAATCCTTCACAAAAAATGGCTGGTGGGCTGGCAGAGTGGCACAAGGTGTAGGTCCTAAGTTCAAACCCCAGTACCTCAAACAAACAAACAAGTATGGATCCTGAAATGGATGAGTGTTTGAGCTTCTGAATTTCAGGGGACGCCAATGACATAAAAGCATGAAGTAGCAAGGATGGTCTTAGAGGTCTGAGGACCTTTTTTTCCCATAGTTACACAGAAGTTGATTCAAGATGTTCTCGAGTTACTTTTGAGAGGGGACGTGGATGATTTTCCTAGTTCATTATGCCACTCATAGGGACAGTTGGTGATCCTATAGAGACTTGCATGAGGTATCCAAAATCTATACTACTAAGCAGCTCTGAGTTCTGTTACAGAGTTAGCTGAAAATCATTTCTCACCGTTACAAATCACCTTGTTTTGTTTTCTTCGTAGGTCTCATTATCACCTGAAATTATTTTATTGAGTACTGTCCATCAGAACATAAGCAGAGCCTTTTCTCTTGCTTACTGTATGCCACTGCCCAGTCCTGGTTAGGCTTTGAAAAGTCGAGGCCAGTCGGGCACCAGTGGCTCATACCTGTAATCCTAGCTACTCAGGAGGCAGAGATCAGGAGGATTGTGGTTTGAAACCAGCATAGGCCAATGTTTTTGCAAGATCTTATCTCAAAAATACCCAACACAAAACAGGGCTGGTGGAGTGACTCAAGAGATAGAGCACCTGCCTAGCAAGCAAGAGGCCCTGAGTTCAAACCCCAGTACCACCAAAACAAAAAGTAGTAAAACATTGCACACGTGCATGTGTGCTTGTTCTGAGAGCTCCATGTGTATCAGCGTATTCACCAGCCACAGAAAGCTGTTCCTATGGTGAGAACCCCTGAGAATCTTGACTTTTCAGAAGCCCGCAGACAACACTGTATTTTATTAGGGTGGAGAACAATCGTCAGTGTGACATCTTGTAAGAAAACTATACTAGACAACAATCCAAGGAAGCTTGGAGGTTGTTAAATTGCAATCGCTGGCCCATTACAGATATCTTTTCTGAAAATACCCAAATAAAGATTGAAGGCTTCACCTGTTTCTTGCTGTCAATTGCCTAAAGTTATAAATAGATTTGAAGATCATCTCTCTTCTTTTAGCAGATCAGGGTCAGATTACAGGGGGCAAAGCAAAATAATAACATGAGTGTCAGGGAATTTTAGTCTGTCAGTCAGCCATCCCCACAGTCTGTCTCCCTTCCCTTCTGCTGTGCTGTCCTAGAATCAAGGGTCCCAGCAACAATGCCTCTGTTTAAACGTTCAGGTAGGTGTGTGAAAGTGTTTGAAGAGCTCTTTTTTTGTTTTTTTTTTCCATATGCAATCATTCTTTTAAATAGCAGATCATCTTGATAACCCTTTATTTAGGATCCATAGTAGCTTCAACAATACACGCTAGGGAAGCAAGACATTTTCAAGTTTTTGTTTGCTTTCAGTTTGGGGAGGGGGGTAATTTTCTAAAATTGCATCTTTGATGCCTTAGAAAACTGTAAGATATTTAATATCTATTCTGCTTAGACTAAACCAAATCTATGCTGACACAGTTCTGAGGAGGGTCATGAACAATGTCTCTAGCTAAAAATCCTGACAGAAATTTTGACCTGTCCTATGCACTCTGATGGTTTACATTCCAGGTTTGTACACAGAGGGATTTAAAAAATAGTAATATGCTATATGTATATTTTATTATAAAAGCAGTGCATGTTTCCTGTGAAAGAAAATACCCTGAAAATGAAAGTAATAAACACTCCTTTAGAAAAATTAGAAAATAGGGCTAGGGGTGTGGTTCAGGCAGTAGAGCGCCTGCCTAGCAAGTTCAAACCCCAGGACCATGAAAAAAAAAAAAAGCTTAGAAAATAGTGATAAGAAAAACAATCATCACAGTCCCATCATGCAAAGATACCCACTCTTAACATTTTAGTGTTTTTCTTTTCGATCTAGTTCCTAGGAAAATTAAAGAAAATTTAAAAGAAAACAGCGGTGTTATATTGTACATGTAACTTTATGTCTTGCTTTTGACAGGATAATATCTTGGCTTCATATTATAGTGTAACTCTTTTACCATAGTATTCCATCTCTTCCTAAACACCATTGTACATCGTTGTATCATATTCTACTTCTCCCAATGAATTCTGTAGGTTCTTCACAGTTTTTTGTAAGTATAAATAATACTCACAACTAAAACTTGTTTCTGTGTTTAAGGAGCGTTTCCATGGGATTGACCTCAGAAAAGGCAGCTCATTAGGCATTACTAAATTATTTATCAAATGAGCTATTTTAGTTTATCTCCTCCTGGCATCCTGTGAGAGTTCCCAATGCTCTTCATCAGGTTCCTTTGTTCTGTTTTGTTTAGTTCACATTTTACAAACAGTACCTTCTGGGGCTGGGAATGTGGCTCAGACATAGAGTGCGTGATTAGCTTGCACAAGGCCCCAGGTTTAGTCCCTAGCTCCATCACAAAAAAAAAAAAAAAAAAACCAACAAACTGCAGCTAGATAGAAGACTGACCTGGAATGATGTCTTGTATAACCCCTCTTTATTGTGACACTCTCCATGCTTGCATTCCTATGTACTAGTTAATGATCACTGTGATTTCTGAAAGTCATTCATATATTTATTGTGTCTTGTTTTATTTTACTTCACACAGCTGAACGAAAGCGTAAGTATCTTGGACTATTTTTCCTGCCATTTGCCAGAGTATCAATTAAAGAAATGACACTGTTCCTTAATTCAGAAACGTGATTGTTTTTCAGCAGTGTTTATTAAATTATACCATGGCAAGTCAACAAAAAATACTGATGACCATAGTAACTCATGGCTTTTCTGGTTTCCAAAAACTAAAACAAACCAAAAACACTATTTTTTTTTAAAAAGGATACTTCATAGGATACCTCGTTGATATTTTGAAATAAAAGCAGATTAGCCAGTGGGGTCTACTGAGAAAATCTTCAACTCTAGTGAGAAAAAAATTGTTGGCAATTTTTGTAGCCAGATAAAATTTTAAAAATTATTTTAAGTAAAATTTTAACCTTAGTTGTACATACCCCTCCATCTTGAATTACCCTTGTCCTTTTGCTGACTGGTCCTGTGTGTGCCCCCAGGCTCCTCTGGAAAGTGAGTTGTGGTTGAAGTGAAAGATTCCCAAGCTTGTTCCCTACACCTTAATAAACACTGCAGAGAAGCAAGCACGAGCTTCTGGATGTGGTGGGTGAAGAAACCAGCATGATATTCCTTCTCCCGTACCTTCCTGTGTGAATAATAACAATCCTCAATTCCTGGGAAGAACTGTGTAGCTTTTTAAGGTGTTCGTGTTTAAGCTTCATGACAACTTTTGAAGTCGACTATTATTATTAACATTTCCCCTTTTTGATGACAAACACTGAGGCTCCTAGTGGTTATGAGGTGTGCCCAAGGCCACCCAGCTGTCATGGACACTGACACCCAATCCAAGGTTCTGCTTCACCATCGTGTTTCTTTTTTTCTATTCCTGTCCTCAAGAATTTGCCACTCAGGTGTCATATTATCTTAACATGTTCCAAAAGAAGTATTCTTTATGAATCTATTTCTCCTTTACTTCCTGAATGCAGGTTGTGACTACCTCTTATCTATTCATCCTTTGAAATACTACTTTCACTCTTGCCTTTTCATAATCACCACCTCTCCCAGAAGTATTTTGAAGTGGAGCTCTTAAATTAGAGACCAAATTTCAGTTGTGATAGCATGAAGTCAAAACAACTGGTTGATTTAGTAGAAGAAATATCAACCAGATAATTTTTGGTCATCTTATAAACTAACTACTCATGTCTGTATTCCTACCTACTGAGGAGGTAGAGATCAGGACATACAGTTCAAAGCCAGCCCAGCAAGTAGTTTGAGATACTTCATCTTGAAAAAACTCATCACAAAAAAAGGCTGGCAGTGTGGCTCAAGTGGTAGAGCGCCTGCCTAGCAAGTTTGAGACCCTGAGTTCAAGCCCCACTACCACCAAAAAAAAAAAAAAGAAACAAAATGATATGTGGGGTCCCAGGTAATGATTGTTTGTGCTGGAGGAACCAATGTCAAGGAAATAAGATTTGGTTTCTGAGCATCATTTGCAAACTGTTCACACTGCCACAGATCCTCAGTCTCACATCACAACCAACTGGCCTCCTTCCATTTTGCTCTTCACTGTGCATGAAGCATCTAACTTCTGCTTGCCATCCATCTTTGAGGTGCATCTGCCTGCTTGTGGTGTTCAGAGAGGAGCCATGCTATTTCTGGGGATGGGTTGGCAGTGGCTGGGGGGAGTGTTCCATTTATTTCTTAGCAGATCATCATGCTTGCCAAAGAACCACTAATAGCATCCAAAGATGCTTTTCAGTTTCAGGAAGTGTTTGAGTTTAATGAAGCAAACAGATGCATGAAATTCAGCCAGCATCATGGGCCTCTCAGTTAACTCTGCTGTGACAAGCTAGGACTTTAAAACTAGCTCACATGACTCCTACTGTGGGTAACTTATGAGTCAATGACTATCATTTCTAATGTATGCTTCACCTTCTACTAAATCATAGCATTTCCTTCATGGCCCAAAGCTAACCCCAAATACCAAATGTGTGTTTCACCGATGCTACTAAATTACATCATTCAATTTAGTCTGCTGCTTTGTTGTCCTTAAAGGATTTCCACATACCTTATCTCACTTGGCATCACAGCAGCCTTGCAAGTGGGGTTGGGTAGGTGTTAGAACCCTACTTGACAGATAAGGAGACTGCAATAGCCAGGTGCAAATGTCTCATACCTAATCCTAGCTACTTGGAAGGCTAAGATCAGGAAGATCACAGATCGAGGCCAGCCCAAGCAAATAGTTCTCAAGACCCCAGCTCCAAAATAACCCAAACAAAATGAGCTGGAGGTATGGCTTGAATGGTAGAGCACCTGCTTTACAAGCATGAAGCCCTGAATTCAAACCCCAATCCCACCCAAAAAAAAAAAAAAGTAAACTGGTTTTTCAAAGGTCATTCATTCTGAAAGAAATGGAACTCCCAACACAGGGAAATGAATTTTAGTGTCTGCCTTCCCCCACATAGCAGCATATCACCAACGTCAGGATTTGAAGAAAAAAAAAAAAAGGTTTGATGTGTGAGAGAAACACACTACCAGTCCTAAGGGGAAGAAAGGCCCTAGAGTACACATTTATTTGTCAGAACTACTGATTTCCCAGCAATCACTGGGACCGCTAGTTCTCCTGAGAAAGAAAAGCTCAAAGGACCAACAACAACTCTGTCCACATCTTCAAAACCAATCAGAAAGACTCCACCAACATAATGAGAGAGACTATGCTGCCTGATTGCTGTGAAATCAAACTTAGCCTCGTCAGAAACAAGTGATCTTACGTTATGTACTGCTCCTACAGAGCCCGAAATTATTTTTAGGGCCCAACAGAAACATGCTATGAGAATCTGGCCTGTGTTTCTGAGGGCAGATTTCCAAGCCCCCTCCTCAAACGCCCCCACCCACCACCAAGGGTGTGTCAGTGACCCTGGTTGGAGAGCAGGGAAGTCATGCACCCAATGCAGTCCTTGGTGCCTTTAAGCTAGAAGAAACTCTTGGATGACTTTTGAAAAAGAACATGCACGCTAATACGTGAAAATCTGTTTTAGAAATTGATGATGCAATGCGTAGCTTTGCTGAAAAAGTATTTGCCTCTGAAGTCAAAGATGAGGGAGGCCGCCATGAGATCTCCCCCTTTGACGTGGATGAGATCTGTCCAATTTCTCATCGTGAGATGCAAGCACACATATTCCACATGGAGACGCTGTCTTTGTCCGGCTCCATGGATGCCCGGAGGTAAGTAGTGTGAGGGGAATGCTTAGGAACTTGGCCTGTGAGGAGGGGCAAATGCCAGAGCAGACATGGCCCAGCCTGTCTGAATGAAGGGCCAATTAAAGGAAGAACACTGCCAGAGTAGAAATTCTTCCCCCTCCTCACTATATATGTTAGGGTGAGATACCAATGACAGAAAAACACAAATTAGTGGGCCTCCTACCCCCATCTACATCCCCTCATGTTGAGGTCTCCCTATCCACCCAAGCAAGGGGACTTGAGCTACCTTTGCAATTACTCCAGGCCATAGTGGGCTGACAGCTGCCATAAACACACTCAACTTATACACAATTGTCATGGGAGCTGGAGCTCAAGAGCTTTCCTTTTCAGACTGAACCCCTAGCCACCCCAGTGTTGTGTTCACCAAAATGGGAGTCCTGCCCTCCAGCCACACTGCTGGCTTCCCAGCCTCAGGGATACAGTCTTCCATTTCTTCCCTCATGCCCTGCCTATCCTACGTCTATGATGTGTACTTACTGCCCTCCCCTATAGTCTTCAGACATCCCTCTTGACAAAGTCTGTTTTCATTTATTTCTAGGATTTGCTGTCGTTATCTGCCACATCTTAGTCCTCAAAGTTATTATAGTGATGACTTCCTAGAACTCCCTTCGTTCAGCTTTCCCCCTCATCCTACCAGCTTCATCCTATGGTCTTTCTCTTGCTTTTATGTCTTTAAGAAAAGAACAATATGACTCAAGTGGTAGAGTGCCTGTTTAACAAGCATGAAGCCCTGAGTTCAAACCCCAGAGCTACAAAAACAAAACAACATAACAAACAAACAAACAAAAAACAACCACTTCCTTTGGCATCCCCTGAAGGACCTAACACAGGACTTGTATCCAAGTAGAAACTCAATAAATATTTACTGATTTGAGGAAATAATACGATTAAACACCTTATAAGTTCTAGGCACTGTGCTAGGCATTTGGTATACATTAAATCCCAGAAATCCTATAAGATAGCTGTGACAAAATACTTAAGAAAGATTGACTTAAAGAAAGAAAGGGTTATTTTGGCTCACGGGTTCAGAGGTTTCAGTTCATGGTCACTTGACTCCATCGCTTTGGGCCTGTGGTGAGGTAGAGCATCACGGCAGGGAGCACATGGTGGAGAGAAGCAGCTCACCTCATGGTTAGTCAGGAAGAGAGAGGAGACATTTCTTACGGTACCTTTTTTAGATAGGGAGGTGAGAACTCGTAGAATTGAAGGAACAGAAGGTTGTAGCTGACATGGCCTTGCTCATTGCAGTATCCAGGCTCCTATTCTGCTAAGAGTAGACTGCCCGGGAAGAATGGTGCTGTACTAAAAGCCTTTTAGTATGTGCCCTAAGGGCCACTGTTCCAAAGTATATACTCAGCACAAGCAGAAGTATCTGTGTCTTCTGTGATCTTCTGCTATACTAGTCTGTTTCTGAAACCCAACTCCCATTTTAGTTTTCACTTTTTGTCCTCAAAATAAAACAGTATAGTAAAACATCTACCTGTTACTATGAAACTCCTGTGAAGACAAGCTAAGTCCTTTTACTTTTTTTAAATTTCAAACCCAGAAAAAGGCGTTTCCAAGGACGGAAGACAGTTAATTTGTCAATTCCACAGAGTGAAACATCTTCCACCAAACTGTCCCATATTGATGACTTCATCTCTTCATCCCCAACCTATGAGAATGTGCCTGATTTCCAGAGAGTGCAGATCACTGGCGACTATGCCTCTGGGGTGAGTTGTGCCAGCCACTCACAGGTATCCTCAGAAGCCACTGAGTTTGAGCCTTTCTAGCTTCTTCCTTTTCTTGTTAAGGCTCCTGTGAGCTCACCCAACCCTTGTTATGCTTTGTTGTTGCACTTGAACGCTAACATGGAATGTTATGTTTCTCTATTGCTTTTATCATCCCACACCATTTCTCCTCTGTCTGCTTTAGTTGCACACTGAGAATATGGAGAACATACTGTATGTGTCCCAAGTCCAGTGGACAGATTTGGGCAAAAGGACCAAAGAGAGAAGTAAGAAGAGGTGGTCCAGTCTTCTTGAAGGCATCATTAAATAGGAAAGGAGGATGACGGGAGACATGGGGATCTCAGAAAAGACGAACCCAAGCAGAACCTAGAATAGAGAGAAAGGCCATAGGGAGCATAAACCAATCAAAGGAAACAGATCAGAAGGACAGGCAGAAAAGAAGAAAGGAGCTGGGTGCTGGTGGCTCACATCTGTAATTCTAGCTACTTGGGAGGCTGAGATTGGGAGGATTGCAGTTTGAGACCACCCCAGGCAAGTAGTTCTCGAGACTCTATCTTCAAAACAACAAGACCAAAGTGGATTGGAGGTGTGGCTCAAGCACTAGAGTGCCTGCTTTTGCAAGCACGAAGCCCTGAGTTCAAACCCAAATTCCACCCCCCAAAAAAAAAATAAAAGGAGAGACCAAGAAAAAGAAGGAAGATGAGAGGTTAGAAAATTCTATTGGACTATTGTTTTTGGACCAGCTGAAACCTCCAGTTTCATTGCATTTGCTTACACAGTAGATTATTGCTTGGAACAGACTCTAGCACGTACAGGGTTAATAAACTCATGTTACCAACAACTTGACCTTCCTATCCTATCCAGATTAATAAATCTCAGCCACGTGGACTTGCAGTGTCAGCATCATATTGGTGAAACTGCTACTTAGCCATCAGTCTGAGCGCCAAATATAGCATCAATGGCCGCCTTCTCAAGTAACCAACCCAGTCATGGTAAATCCTAAGATACTTCAAAGTGACAGAGCAGTGAAATGCAAGCCATTCTTGTTTACTCTGGGGGCTTTACTCTTTTTTTGTTTACTTAACGGGGGCTTTGCAAATGACAAAGGTTTTAGATAACCAATTAGCGGAAGAGAAATGTTCAATAGTGGTAAGTACATGGGCACACAGTTTGGAGAACTCCAGTGTTCAAAAGAACATAAAACATTAGGAGACAAACTTGATACCTATGACTAGAAACAAAAACAGGAATAAGAAGAGAGAAGATGGAAGGAAGGGCAAGATATGCAGTTGGCGAGGAATAGCGGCTCCTCCTTTGAACACTAGAGGACACCTGAATCTTTGGCCCAGGATCTAGAACCAAGAGTATTGCTATGCCTGTTGGCTCAATGTGGCTGTGAGCGCTACTCCACTTAGTTGTGCTTTGTACCCAAGCTCATCTTAATCCTTGCAATGTTAGCACAGAGGTAAAGGGGAAAGTAGGGCTAAAGTCCCAAGGCCTTTACTCTCTGATAATCACTTGATTAAATTTTATCAGCCCTTATCGATCAGCCTCTCAGAGCCAGGCATTGTAGGAAAAGTGCCGAGGTTATAAAGACCCAACTCTTAGGGCTCTGAGTATAGCTCAAGTGGTAGAGCCCTTGCCTAGCAAGTACGAGGCCCTGAGTTCAAACCCCAGTACCACCAGAAAAGAAAGAAAAAGACCCAATTCTTGTCCTTGAGTTGCTGATAGGCTGGTGGTCCACTAGGTGGCAATGAAACAGGCATGTCATTGGAAGCAGACCCCCTCTCCCCCACAGACCTTACAGTTATGCTAGATTCTTTCAGCCAAAGTCAGCAGGTCTTTAAAAATAAACCGCCTAGGATCAATATCTGCATCTCAAACCATTGGGAACAAGCTTATGTGGGTGCCAGAGGCAAAGTCTCTGGGCTCTGATAATAATAAGCATTCAAGGATTTCAAATTATAACTGCTTGGGCCAGGATCTGGGAATGGGGGCAGGGAAACAACAGTTTAGGACATTTTTAGCAGCTCTAATAAAGTTTTACTCTAGAAGCCCTGTATTTTTAGCCACCGATAAAATTCTCTTTAAAACTTGCAAAACGCTGGACACGGTGGTACGTAACTATAATGCCAGCCGAAGGAGACTGAGGTAGGAGGATTGTGAATTTGAGTTGTGTCTGAACTATTTTTTTGAGAACCTGTTTCAAAAACAAAACAAAACAAAAAGCCAGGTGCCTGTGGCTCATGCCTATAATCTTAGCTACTCAGGAGGCAATGATCAGGAGGATTGAGTTCAAAGCCAGTCCAAGAAAATAGTTCCCAAGACCCTATCTCGAAAATACCCTTTACAAAAAAGGGCTGGTGGAGTGACTCAACATATAGGTCCTGAGTTCAAATTTCAGTACCCCCCAAAAAAAGAATCACACTGTCAGTTGAGATATTTATTGTTTTCAGAAGTCTGTATTTTAAATGCTGCATGGAAGGAAGAAAGTGTGTACCATGTTACACAGGGTTCTTTTTATCATTTTTGCTGAATAATTCCTATGTTAGCAAAACCAAAACAGGGAACCTGGATGTGTAGTTCAGTGATAGAATGTCTGCCTAGAGTGTTCAAGGTCTTGAGTTCAATCCTTAGCACTGCCCAAAACAAAAATAAATGCAGGATTATCAGGGAAAGACTTGTCACGGGATAGGTAAGTTATGGTGGAGATGAAAGAGCAGAAAAAACCCCAAGACTTACTCTTGCAGAGAGACCCAGGGCCCAAGTCTATTAGGAAGCCTCAGGGCCATAGCACTTGGAGGGCTGGGAGGTGCCAAAGATGAGCTTGACCTGCTTTTCAGATTTTCACAGGATGGCTCCATACTCTGGCATTTTCTTGGCAGGTAACAGTGGAAGATTTTGAGATGGTTTGTAAAGGTCTATACCGGGCCTTGTGTATACGTGAGAAGTACATGCAGAAGTCGTTTCAGAGGTTCCCTCAAACCCCTTCTAAGTACTTGCGGAGCGTCGACGGTGAAGCCTGGGTAGCAATAGAGAGCTTCTATCCAGGTACTTTACTCTCTTGCAAAATGTGTGCACTGTGTATCTTTTGGCTTAACTGCTGAAATATCAAATTGAAATATTAAATTCAAAATATGCCCCTAGATTATAAGTAGTCCATTTAAAAATATCATAGTCATCTTCAGCTCCATTCTACCTGCCCACATCCAGTCATGTGATTCAGTCTATGCACTCTCTCTCTAAGCCTCTTCTCTCTTTACCATCCTCCCACCAAGATTGAGAACTACATATTTCTCTTTATTTAGATTATTGTGATAGCTTCCTAATACTAGGCTACATTTCATTCTCACCTCCTTTTGGTTCATTTTCTCCTTGACACTAGTTATTAAAACACAGACCTGAATCTGGCGTGGGTGGCTCATGTCTGTAATCCTAGCTACTCAGGAGGCAGTGATCAGGAGGATCAGGGTTCGAAGCCAGCCCAAGGCAAGTAGTTCTCATGACCCCATCTCGAAAAAGCCCTTCACAAAAAAGGACTGGTAGGCTGGTGGAGTGGCTCAAGGTATAGGGCCTGAGTTTAAACCCCAGTACCACAAAAATAGAAAAAAACCACAGAGCTTGTGGCACATGCCTGTAAATACCAGCTACTCGAGAGGCAGAGGCAGAAAGATCAAGAGTTCAAGACCAGAGTGGGCAAAATTATGGAGGCCATATCTCAAAAACAAAATACAAACAAAAGGGCTGAAGTTGTGGTTCAAGTGGTAGAGCAGGGAAGGACCTGGATTCAATCCCCGGGACAGAGAGAGAGTGAGAGGAGAGAGAGAGAGAGAGAGAGAGAGAGAGAGAGAGAGAGAGAGAGAGAGAAAACAAGAGAGAGAGAGAGAGAAGAAAGGGACCCAAGCAGATCCCTTTCCTGACAAAACCAGCTGCTCCTATTACCTACAAAGCTTGCTTTCCAAGCTCTTTCGCCTGACTTTCAAGGCCTGCCCCCTTTGGCTTCCTCACTGATTTTATTTGTTTGGTTTTGGTCTTGCACACTCAACCTATTTCTAAACTGACCTCCCAACTCCACCTTTTATAGTCTTTGTTATGGTTGGAAGAATTTCTTGATCTCCATATAGTTCAGCACTTTCCTCCTCTTAGGCTGTTCCCCAGCCTAGACTGCCCTTCCCTGACTTAGTCACCCTGTGTTCACAGGTGTAGATCCAACCTTATCCTTTAAGACGCAGCCCAAATACCATCATTTCTTGACTGTCTCTGACCTCAGAATAAAAGTAAACAACATATTCTGCCTTTCCATTGCACTTTATTTACCTATCTGTTTTAACTCTGCCTTGTATGAAGTACAATGTTTTTAAACAATCTGAAGTCTGTCAAATTATCAAAATGTCATCTTTGTGAAATTTTGTGTCCTGTATCTTTAAGATTATACTGCTAACTAGAACTGATCTTCCTGGCACATATTTTAGATTTGTCATGTTATTGAAGATCTTAAATTCTACACCCTCTTCTCTGTAATTCCTTTTAATGTAATAATCAGGTTAAATTGGGTGCTGATGGCTCATGCCTGAAATCCTAGCTACATGGGAGGCTACAATTGGGAAGATTGAGGTTCAAGCCCAGCTGGGCAAATAGTGTGTGAGACCCAGTCTCCAAAACAATCGAACAAAATGGACTGTAGGTGTGGCTCAAGCAGTAGAGCTGCTTTGCAAGCTTGAAGCCCTTGAGTTCAAACCCCAGTCTCAGGAAAAAAAAAAAAAATCATGTCCAGTTTGGTATATAATATTGGTTTTCCCATCCTCTGTAAAAGAGCATCATTGGGATGTTTGCCTTCCCTTTGCTCCCTCTGGATTACACTTAATTTCTACAAAATGCTAAGCATAAGAAGTACAAAATTCACATTTGCTATAGCTATAGTTTCCCTTCTTTCCTGTTCCTCACCTCCTAGTTAAGAACAGGAAATATGCAAACTTTTTCTTCCCATGTTTTCTTCTCACTCTGGCTGCTTTAGGCATCATTTGCAAACAGGAGCCTTTCCAATGCCTTACTTGGGCATAGCACGTGACCATGTTTGCTTTGTGGGGATTTTTTTTGGCAGTACTAGAGTTTGAACTCAGGTCCTCACACTTGCTAGGTAGGCGCTCTTACTGCTTGAGCTACTCCACCATCCCTGTTTAGTGATGGGTATTTTTTGAGATAGGGTCTCATGAACTATTTGCCTGGGGCTGGCTTTGAACCTCAGTCCTCCTGATCTCTGCCTCCTGAGTGGCTAGGATTACAGGTGTGAGCCACTGGTGCCCAGTCATATTTGTTGAAAGTAAAGGGAGGAGTGCTGAAATGCTCTGCCAGTGTGGAATGTGTTCTTGGCCTTCTTGTGTTGAAACTGTCAGCAGAGGAAAGAAGCAAACATTTATCCACCTAATCCTTTCTCAGATCCCTTAGCAAATATCATATTTACTTTAAAAGATGGCAAACATAATTATACTAAGGAATATAATTCTGTAAGAAGAGTTTTTTTATATGGCCCTTTATATTAAAATCACTTTGGGTAAAACACAGAGGATTTTTTAGGGGAATGAAACTACTTTGTGTGATCCTGTAAGGGTAGACACATGTCATTATACACTTGTCAAAACCCATAGGATGTACAAAGCCAACCGTGAATTCCACTGTGAACTATGCACTGTGAGTGGTTATTATGGGTCAGTGTTGGTTCCTCAGTTAAAACAAACGTGCCACTCTGGGGCAGGGTGCCCACAGTGAGGTAATTTTCTGCGGTGGACAAGGGAAATGTCTATTAAAAGCATTCTAAAAAAAAGAAGAAAAAACACTCTAAATTAAGACTTTTATTACAAGAGATTAGTTTAAATAAGGTAAATATCCAAGCTCCATTTTTGTTTTTCTTTCTTTTGTTTTTTATAGAACTGAGATTTGAACTCAGGGCTTTGTCCTTGCAAAGCAGGTGCTCTACCACTTGAGCCATGCCTCCAGCCCTGCAAGCTCTATTTTTGAACTACAGTTTCAGCAGGCTGGCGTATGGCCCAAGTGGTAATGTTGAGGGAATCTCAAGCTGAGATATGGACACTGAGGCAGTTTAGCAGGAAGCAAGGTTTTATTGTGCTGACCCAGACCCAGTGGACTCATGTCCAAAGGATGAGCCCTGAGAACAAAGGGGTCTGACCTTACATACCCTTGCAAGCAGATTACAGAGGCAAAAAAACAAAGCTCAACCCACATATGGCTGCATGTGACTTCATTGGCTATTTCATCTCCCCTGTGCTATGTGACCTTCATGGTTCAGTTCTTTAAGTTTTATCTCTCTGCTTTGCCATCCCTTCCCTCTGCCTAAGTATCAGAACACAGCCTATCTGTTTCTCTTCTGGCCCACCTCCCTGCTACAGTCCTCCCTGTCTTGAAATATAGTTTCACTTTTATTTTATGCAATTATTTAATAAGCTAATATAATGCCTGTGTAGAAAGCCTGTGATGACCAATGTTAGTAAATTAAAATAATTTGTAAGTAGTATATCAATTACTTTATATAAAGAGTTATAAAGAGTGTTTCCAAATATTACTCAAAAATCATTATTTTTTTGCAGTACTGGTGTTTGAACTCAGGGCCTCACACTTGCTGGGCAGGTGCTTTACCACGTAAGCCATTCTGCCAGCTCTTTTTTGTATTGGGTATTTTTTGAGATAGGGTCTCATGAACTATTTGCCTGGACTGGCTTTTAACAGCAATCTTCCTGATCACTGCTCCTGAGTAGCTAGAATCCTACAGGTGTAAGCCAACCGGCACCCAGCTACTATAGTTATTTTATACTACAAATTTAGTCCCCTTTGAAAAGTTAATGTGAAATAAGCCTAATGGATAAATTAAATAAAGCTGGCTAATTACATCTTACAAAGTATGGGATGCCAAACTCATGAGATTTTGCTATCTTTCATATTTTGCTTATTTTCACTTGATCATCCTATGTGCTGTGTTTTAGTCTTCACCCCTCCTCCAAAGAAGGCGGAAGACCCTTTCCGAACAGATGACCTTCCTGAAAACCTGGGCTATCACCTCAAAATGAAGGATGGTGTTGTCTATATTTATCCTAACGAAGCCGCAGCCAGCAAGGATGAGCCCAAGCCATACTCTTACCCAGATCTGGATGACTTCTTAGATGACATGAACTTTTTGCTTGCTTTAATTGCCCAAGGACCTGTGTAAGTGCTTAGTGAGAGCTTAACAATAGTTACTGCTACCGCTGATAGTAAGAATAACATCTACTAAATAGATCAAATGTTCAAATACTGTGCTAAACCCTTCATGTAGATCAGTCAGCTGTGTACTGAAAGTTTATGAGCAAGTTTATGAGTTGAGAGTGTGGCCCAAAGTTACACAGCTGGCTGATCCAGAATTGGATCCCATGTCTGCTGACTACAAAGTCAAGGCCATTACCATTGATCTACATAGTCTCCACTGATTTTTAAATGCCTTCCCAAGTCCTCCCTCGTTATGTCTAACTTTGATGAAAAAGTTAGAGTACTTTTCAGTGAGAATAACTCTAGAGGACCGTGAAACATTTATTCCAACAATTGTTTCCTATGGGTGATAGGAGTCCTGATGCTTTTGAAATAGTGACTGCCTTCCTTAAATGTTTGGATTTCTTTTAGAATTATGTAATTTTATTTTTCACAGTAAGACCTATACCCACCGGCGCCTGAAGTTCCTCTCCTCCAAGTTCCAGGTCCATCAGATGCTCAATGAGATGGATGAACTAAAGGAGCTGAAAAACAACCCCCACCGAGATTTTTACAACTGCAGGAAGGTAAACGTCTTAGCTGCTCAGATGCAATTTCTAGAAAAAGGCACTAGCCAAAGATTTCTTGAGAAGGACAAGAACACCGTTTTCTAATTAATCTAAAACTCCTCCAGATAGTGAAAGTAGGTAGATTATGTCTAAAAGAATAAAAGCATCATTTCTTTTCTTTCTTTTTGACAGTACTAGGGTTTGAACTCAGGATCCTGAACTTGCTAGGCAGGAGCTCTACCATTTTTGAACCACACCCTCAGTTCTTGTGTTTTAACTATTTTTCAGGTACAATATCTTTTTTGACAGGGACCAGCCTTAGAGTACATTCTTATGCCTCCCGAGTAGCTGGGATTACAGCTGTGAGCCTCCATGCTGGCTTATTTGTTGAGATGGAGTCTTGCCAGCCCCGTTCCCTCCCCCTAATCTCTGGCCTTGAACCACAATACTCCTGATCTACTCCTTGGGAATAGCTGGGATTACAGGCACCCAGTTAAAACATCATTTCTTCACCTTTTCTTTTTTTCTGGTGGCACTGGGGTTTGAATTCAGGGCCTCATGCTTGCTAGGCAGGTTCTCTTATTGTTTGACACACTCTGACACTCCTAAAAATGTCATTTTTTTTTTTTGAGATTTACCAAACTCTTAGGTAAAATATTGCAATTATCAGACTGGGGGGTAGCTCAGTGGTACAGCAATTGCCTAACATGTGGAAGACTCTGTATTTGATCCCAAAACTGAAAAAATAAATTATTATGATCAACAAAGAATAAGAAAAATGAACAAAATCTTAAGAACTGAATATTTTAGGATTTGGAAAATCTTCCTCCTGATTCTTTTTCTTTTGCTTCCTGACTATAAAACTTTGGGGGAAATAATGAAATATTTTTGAGTTCCAGTGTTCTCACTTGTAAAATTGGAAAATACCTGATGTGAATCAGGCTCAATACACCTGATATGAAGATTGTGAATGCCAAATGAAGCTAATGACTGTGAAACCTAATCAATTAGAAACACTTCTAATACCTGTCCTGAACAGCAAGTAGAACAGGAAATATCTGCACAAAGATTTAGGCTCAAATCCTGGCTCTACCTTCTGTTTAATCTTTGGCAAATACTTAATCTATCAAAAATTTATATTAAAAGCCCTGAGTTCACACCCCAGTGCCACCAAAAAATAATTCGTATTATAAATTGTACTTATAAAAGTATCTATCAAGCCAGGAGCTGGTGACTCAAGCCTGTAATCCTAGCTACTTTGGAGTCTGAGATCAGGAGGATCATGGTTTGAGGCCAGCCCAGGCAAAAAGTTTGCAAGAGGCCATCTCAATGGAAAGCAGCTGGGTGTGATGGTGTGTGCCTGTCATCCTAGCTAGGGCAGAAAGTGTGAAATAGGATCACAGTCCAGACGGACTTGGGCATAAAGCAAAACTCTATCTCTTAAAATAACCACAGCAAAAAGGGCTGGAGGCATGACTCAAGCAGTAGAGCACCTGCCTAACAAGCATGAAGCCTTGAATTTAAGCCACATATGTCACATAAATGGTCTCACTGTGCCATGGCTTCATACTTTTAATCCTATCTTCTTTGAGAATGAAAGCTGTGGTAGCAACATCAGTTCTAATTTGTGTGTCCCGCATGGAGAAGGAGCCCCAAGAATTTTGCATGGACCGAATGTAGGAAGCATATCAGATGTACATATATTCAGGAGAAGCAAGCATTATCATTGCCTATAGCCAAGCTTTCACATTCCTGAACTAGCACAGAAGGAAACAATGGGTCTTTGTTTCTGTGCCTCCTCTACCAGCTGTCAGCTCACAGCCCTGTTATCTCCTCCTTCCTCCTGCCATGGTGGATCTGCAGGCACCATGGCCACTGATAGAACGGAATAATGAAAGCTGATGCTTCTCTCTCTCTGGGTGTGCACCCAGGTGGACACCCATATCCACGCAGCTGCCTGTATGAACCAGAAGCATCTGCTGCGCTTCATTAAGAAGTCTTACCACATCGATGCCGACAGAGTGGTCTACAGCACCAAAGAGAAGAATCTGACCCTACAGGAACTTTTTGCTCAATTGAAAATGCATCCCTATGACCTAACTGTTGACTCTTTGGACGTTCATGCTGTAGGTTGAAAAGATGTTATTTTCACTGTAGCATGCAGAACCCCACATCTTTGTGCTTCCAGTGGTCCCTTGTTATGCATAGTCTCCCTTTTAACATGTTGGTTCACTGAGAAAGCCCCTAAGATTTTTTTTTTTTTGTGGTCTGTGGTTTGAACTCATGGTTTACACCTTGAGCCACTCCATCAACCCCTTTTTTGGTGATGGGTGTTTTCAAGATAGGGTTGCTTGAACTATTTGCTCAGTCTGGATTCGAACCACGATTCTCCTGATCTCTGCTTCCTGAGTAGCTAGGATTAAGGTGTGAGTCACCGGTACCCGGCTACCTAAGACGATTTAGAGGTTCATTCACTGTTGATTGTCAGCTGTACCAGACATCATTTTTGGGGCCCAATCCCTTCCCCTGCTACCAGTCCCCTATCCCACCTAGCCATTGCTGAACACTCTGCGACCAGGCAACTCTGATAATCGAACACTGTTGCTCCTGTTTCCTGACTCAGGGACGCCAGACCTTTCAGCGTTTTGATAAGTTCAATGACAAATACAACCCTGTGGGAGCGAGTGAACTACGGGACCTCTACCTGAAGACAGATAATTTCATCAATGGGGAATATTTTGCCACCATCATCAAGGTAAGGAAGAACCAACCAGATCTATTTAATCTGGCTGTTTTTTTTTTTTTTTTGCAGCACTGGGATTTGAACACAGGACCTACACCTTGAGTCACTCCACCAGCTTTTTTTTTTTTTTTTTGAGTTGAGTGTTTTCAAGATAGGATCTCATGAGCTATTTTTCCAGGGTGACTTTGAACCATGATCCTCCTGATCTCTGCCTCCCAAGTAGCTAGAATCGCTGGCGTGAACTACCAGTGCCTGGCCTGACATCATTCTTGAGAAGGGATGGGCGGGGAGGACAGAAAAAGAAGGAACAGAAGGAGGGAGCAAAGGTGCTATCTCTGGTGCCAAACACTATGCAAATAAGAATCTTTTGTGAAAGTCATTGGATTGATTTTTAAAGACCTCCATTTCTAGGGTGGAGAAATTGAGGGAATGGTTTTGGGAGCAAGGACTTTGCCTGTTGAGGTTTTGGTGAGGTGTAGATTCAGGAAGAGTTCTCTGAGGTATTTGGCTCAAGTGGTAGAGCACCTGCTTAGCAAGTACAAGGCCCTGAGTTCAAATCCCAGCACTGCAAAAAAAAAAAGCGAATGAAATTTTAAAGGGCTGGCAGAGTGGCTCAAGTGGTAGAGCGCCTGCTTAGCAAGCATGAGGCCTTGAGTTCAAACCCTAGTACTGCCTTAAAAAAAAAAAAAGAATACACAGGAAGAGCTAGGACGGGTATTCACACTCAAGATGGCTGTGCTTTCGGAAGCAGGATTAGCATGCAAGGTTGAGAGATGAGCGTTCAGGGAGCCAGGGAAATGTGAAAAGTTCACTCCTCTCACAGGCACCTTGAGTATCTCATCACTCTTACTTGGCCTTTGCTCTCTCTGGTCTCTCCACTGGATTCTCTTCAGCTCTTAGATCTTCCCCTCCTCCTTCCTCTCATGTTTCCTCATTTTTTTCTGAATACCCAGCCCCTCTCCCCAGATCCCACAGGTCTACACACTCCTGGGGACTTGTGGAAACTCCTGGCCTTGCACTCCTCTCTTGGCTTTGCAGGAGGTGGGAGGCGACCTGGTGGAGGCCAAGTACCAGCATGCGGAGCCCCGTCTGTCCATCTATGGCCGCAGTCCTGACGAGTGGAGCAAACTCTCCTCCTGGTTTGTCTGCAACCGCATCTACTGCCCTAACATGACATGGATGATCCAGGTCCCCAGGATCTAGTATGTATCTGCCCGTGGGAAACCCTGAAGCCTGCCCTTGTCTCACCTGCCTCATCTCCCACCTGAACAAGACATGTCCAGCCCATCTAGGCAAAAATTAGCTTTGTTGAAGCAGCACTCAGTCTGGGGTCCTGTGTGCTTGGTTTTGCCCACTCTGAGTACACACTCTTTTTTCTTTTTTTAACTAGTATATTTATATATATTTGTCAGTACTGGGATTTGAACTCAGGGATTCATACTTCCTAGGCAGCCACTCTACCACTTGAGCCACTCCACCAGCCCCATACACAGCACTCTTGACCAGACAGGAGTTAGGAAAATTATTTCAGTTCCGTTTTATAACCAGGAGCTAAATAAGAACTAAGCTAGAAAAAGAACTATGTGCATTTTAGTATATACTTTCTGCTGGTTGTTTTCTCTGTGTCTAGTTCATTCTTTCTGTGTTCATCTGTACTAGGATATAGCTTTATTTCTTTTCCTTTTCTATTTCCTTCCTTCCATTCTTCCTTCCCCTCTCCCTTCCTCCCCACCCCCCACCTCCTTTTCCTTTCCACAGGGTCTTGCTATATAGCCCAGACTGGCCTCAAACTCATGATCCTCCTGCCTCCAATTCCTAGGTGCTGGGATTATAGTTGTGAACCATCATGCCTGGCTCTGATATGGTTTTATTGTATTCAAACCTTTACCACAGTCTGCTGACTATCTCACTCACAAGTGCTCAAGTTCTCCAGAGTATTTGTTAGTGGTGTTGCTGAGGAAGTATATTTCATACATCACTTACTGCCCTTGGGTGGTTTCTCTGTTTGTTCAGTATCATTGATCTTTTATCTAATTTACATGTTCATATAGTCTCTGGCAACCTGCTTGGGTGCTCTGTGTGCCCTGTGGCAACGTAAGAGTTTTATCCTGTCTCTTGGCCCAAGAGGGCAATACTTCCTAAGACCATTGAGGCAGAGATGCAGTAGAATGGGATCGTTAGGAATACGTACTCTTGACCTATATTGGCTGTGCTTGACTCTTGGTTCCATCACTTACTATCTCTGTGGCCCTGGGCAAGTTACATGACGTCCCTTAAAAGGGGTAAAAAGAGCACCTAGCTCACTGAGATGAAGAATCTCGAGAGTGGGTGTAAGAGGAACATAGCAGATCTTTTTCTTGTATATGGCATTTGATCCTGTGGTTCCCTCATACCAGATTCATTGGTCCTAAAATTCTTCCTTTCCTCCTAAGTTCTCTTCATTCTTGCTCTAGTGATGTGTTCCGATCTAAGAATTTCCTTCCACACTTCGGAAAGATGCTGGAGAATATTTTCCTGCCAGTGTTTGAGGCCACCATCAACCCCCAGGCGCACCCAGACCTCAGTGTTTTCCTCAAGCACGTAAGCATGACCTCCAGGCCTTCACACTGCTCACGAGCCTGTCCCCTGCTCTGGCCATGACTAACTCTGGTGCTTATCTCTTTACATCTGGTCATTCCCTGTGGAGCTGAAAGTTTATCTGAGGGCAGCACCCTTGCATTTGGCCTGAACCCACCGCATGGCTCACTTTTCCTGACAGATCACGGGCTTCGACAGTGTGGATGATGAGTCAAAACACAGTGGTCACATGTTCTCCTCCAAGAGTCCCAAGCCCCAGGAATGGACAATGGAAAAGAACCCATCTTACACTTACTATGCCTACTACATGTATGCAAACATCATGGTGCTCAACAGCTTGAGAAAGTAAGTGCCAGAGAGGTGGAGCCAAGGCACAGGCTATCCCACCCAGCTCTCTCCTCAAGCGTTTGCACTCTGGGTACATTCCTGATATGCTTCCAATTGGCCCAAGTCACACATTTCTACTTTTTCTTCAGTTTGTTAAGGGACAGTAATAGACATTTTTGGTATCTTCAATATCTTTCACAGTTCCTTTCCATTAAAAAGTTTAGGAATTTATATGCGATTTATTATACCGCTCCATAGGTTTTACTCTTCATGTCTGTGGGTAAGGAATGGAGAATATCATATTGGACTTTCTTTTCTGTGCTAGCGGTTGAACCCAGTTCTTTATAATCATTCCCCCCTAAATTGTAAAGAGCAGAAATGATGAGATAGCAATACTGAGAAGTCTCCTGTTGAGACTGAAGTTGTTTCTGCTGAGGTACTCAACTCCTTATTGCCTTCATACCCCATGTCCTCAGCTGCCTCTTTTTTTGTTTGTTTGTGGTACTGGGGCTTGAACTCAGGGCCTACACCTTGAGCTACTCCACCAGCCCTTTTTTGTGTTGGGTGTTTTCTAGATAGGGTCTTGTGAACTATTTGCCCAGGCTGGCTTTGAAACTTGATCTTCCTGATCTCTGCCTCCTGGGTAGCTAGGATTATGGGCGGGCATGAGCCACCAGCACTTTTAAAACAGTTTGTATTCAGGAACAATTAAGATGATGATTTGGGATTGTGTTTTGCTGAATCCTTTGGAGGGTTGCTCCACTTCCTCCCCTCCCTCCTTCCCTCCTTTCTTCCTTCTTCCTCTCCTCCCTCCCTTTTTTCTTTCTTTCTTTCTTGGTGCTGGGGTTTAAACTCTGGGCATTGCACTTGCTAGGCAGGCGCTCTCCAATTTGAACCATGCTCCCTACCTCCCCACAGCAATTTCATTTCCACAGGGAACGTGGCATGAATACATTTCTGTTCCGACCTCACTGTGGGGAAGCTGGAGCTCTCACCCACCTCATGACGGCATTTATGATAGCAGATAACATCTCTCATGGTCTGAATTTAAAAAAGGTGAGTTGAAGGCTCTTCTTAATATCAGTTTCTATATTGAAGCTGGGGGTATCTTTTTCTGCCCCCTACCATACTGTCACAATCTGCTACCAACACTGGAATCAAATTCATGTAGACCACAAAAAGACTTTTGAGATTTTTTTTTTTTAAGTGCAGCTCATTCAACAGAGAGAAGCAAATGGGCTTCTTAAGATTACCTAATTAGTTGCTGTCAGAGATGAGTTAATGGAGATCTCTGGTTTAGAACTCTGACAAGGATAACTTAGAGGGCACTTGGCTTGCCTGGAGCTAGTTTTTGCCAGATATCTCTTGTAAGAGTCAGAGCTTTTGTGTAGCAAAACAAGTAGGTTTCAGGGCAAAAGCTTTTGAGCTTTAATCGCCTAGGTTAGATGGTCTAGCTTAGAGATGGCTCTAGTAAAAGTTCAAATAAAAAACATGATGATCCTAGACACATTTATTCCAAACAGTTTTTACATTGAAAAGCTAGAATTCTTCTTTCCTAGATTTAAAGAGTAGGTGATAATTTTGTTGAGAGCTACAGTTGAAGGCTGACCATGGGATTTTAAGGTTTCAAGTTTTATCCCTTTTCCATTATCCTTAATTCTTGTTTTACTTTCTTTTCAGAGTCCTGTGTTACAGTACTTGTTTTTCTTAGCCCAGATTCCCATCGCCATGTCTCCATTAAGTAACAACAGCCTATTTCTTGAATATGCAAAAAATCCTTTTTTAGATTTCCTCCAGAAAGGGCTGATGATCTCACTGTCTACAGATGATCCGATGCAATTCCACTTCACCAAGGTATGTATGCGGGTTTGGCTTGTTTTTTTTTTTTTTTAACAGTACTGGTTTTGAACTCAGGCCTCCTTCCACTTGCTAGGCAGGTGCTTTACTACTTGAACCACACCCCCACATGTGGGACCTTGAGCTGATATTTTGCTGAACAATTATTTCCCATCTAGAAAGAGCAAGTTAAACCTGGGGTACTTCACTGTTCTCATAATGTAAGATACATATTATTTCTTTTATTAAGGCATTCTTCTCTCTCTCTCTCATCATTTAAATAAATAACTACAGGAGCCCCTGATGGAAGAATATGCCATTGCTGCACAAGTCTTCAAGCTGAGTACCTGTGACATGTGTGAGGTGGCAAGGAACAGTGTTCTGCAGTGTGGAATTTCCCATGAGGTAGACCTGTCTCTAACTGGCTGCCCTTCTGAGTATAGGGTTTGGTAACTTCAACACTGAAAAATGAGTTGGGGAAACAAATGTAGAAAAGCTGTTTTACAGGCTGGGTTTTTTGGCTTCTGCCTATAATCCCACCTACTTAGGAGGCAGAGATAGGAGGACTGCTGTTTGAGGCCAGCCCTAGCAAAAAATTAGTGAGACCCTGTTTCAAAAAGAAGTTGGGCATGGTGGTGCACATTATAATCCCAACTACACAAGAGGCACAGGTAGGAGGATCAAGGTCTGAGGCTGGCCCTAGGCAAAAGCATGAGAGCTTTTCTGAAAAGTAACTGAAGCAAAAGGGGCTGGAGGCATGGTTCAAGTAAGTAGAGTGTTTGGCTGGTAAGCATAAGGCCCTGAGTTCAAACCCCAGTACTATGGAAAGAAGGAAGGAAGGAAAGAAAGAGAGAGAAAAGCTGTCCCACAAGTGCAGTGCTATGGACAGGATCAGGCTACATAGTGAGATCTTGTCTCAGAAAATAGTCTCTCTCTCTAATCATGCTTTTTGGGAAATAAAAAACTAAAATACACTTGATTTCTCAGTGGACCATGCCCACTGAGCCATTAGGTGAAAGTTTCCTTGCTTTCCCTTTTGCCTGTGGCTAACATAAAGAAGGAATTTTTGTGGGAGATTCAATTATTGTCTACACCAGGGTGAAAAGAGACAATAATCGCTCTGGTTCCTTTTGTCTTATAGGAGAAAGCAAAGTTTCTGGGTGACAATTACCTTGAGGAAGGCCCTATTGGAAATGATATCCGGAAAACAAATGTAGCCCAGATCCGAATGGCCTATCGCTATGAAACCTGGTGTTATGAACTCAACTTAATTGCTGAGGGTCTTAAATCAACAGAATAAAGTAAATAAACTCAACAATACACTGAGTGAGATTTTCATTGCAGTATTTGAATAATAATAGCACTAGTTACTGAATCCCTACTAAAACCAAAGGATTGTATGAGATATTCCACTGATAGTATTTCATTTAATCTTTTCCACAACTTTATAAAGTAGATATTATCTCCATTTTGGGAAAAATGAGTAAACACTGCAAGGTTACAACCTGTACAAGAATATACCTTGTGCCAGGTGACAGGGCTCATGCCTGTGATCCTAACTGTGAGACTCCCTTCTCAACCAATTGCCAGGCAAGGAGGCATAGGCCTGTCATCCCGAGCTATATATGGGAGGTTGAGATCGGGAGGATCGTAGTTCTAGGCCAGTCAGGGCAAAAAAGTTTGTGAGACCCCCATCTCAATGGAGAAAAGCAGGGCATGGTAGTGAGCACCTACCTTGTCAGCACAGTGACAGCCAGAAGCATAAACAGGAGGATGGGGTCCAGGTAAGACCGGGAAAAAAATGAGACCCCATCTCCAAAATAATCAGAGCAAAAATGGAAGGTTTAGTTCAAGCAGTAAAGTTCTTACCATTGGGAAGGGCTCGGCCGCAGTATCTCACACACACACAGTATCACACACACACCCTCGGCCGCAGTAACACACACACACACACACACACACACACACACACACACACACACACACACACACACACACACCAGTGAAGAGTAGCAGTAGGGGCCTAGGTTTGTTTGACTCCAGAGTTTCCATGACTTTCAGGCAAAACAGTTATCAGAGCTAGAGAAAAATACAAGCAAATGACTTTCTACGGATGATAATTTTGGTTTGTAGAATTAAACTTGGTGAAGGCACATGGAACCATTTAAAAATTCTTTTGACAAAGTACAAGTAAATCGTGGCTTCCTTAGACAAAAACAAAATAGGTACTTGCCAATCAGCATTTATGAGTTATACTCAGGGGAAATTTATTTTATAAGAGGATTCTTAATTTACCAAAGGGAGTTATATATATGTAACTTTTCAGAAATATGCCTGTTACCCAAGGTCAGGAGATTATATTTCCACACACGCAACTGTGTTGCCACCTAGTGGCTGGGCTGATATTTTATTCAATTTATTCAATAAGCAATTACTGATCAAACATCTAGGGCATTAACTACTATTATCTCCCTCTTACCCATGAGAGGGCAGTAGAGCTCATGTATGTGAATTAATTTATCACATCCATACAACCACATTACAGATTTGATCTCATATTTGGTACTTGGAATTCAATCTGCTTTGTTTTGTCAAATAATCTTCCTGAAGGCAAAGTTCAAAAAAATAAATCACAGGGCTAGAGTGGGGCTCAAGTGGCAGAGTGTCTGCCTGACAAGAGCAAGACCCTGAGTTCAAACTCCAGTACTGCAATAAAATAAATAAATAAATAAATAAAGGCTGGAGGAGTGGCTCAAGTGGTAATGCGCCTGCCTAGCAAGCTTGAGGCCCTGAGTTCAAACTTGAGTAGCGCTAAATAAATAAGTAAACATCAAAAACATGCTATTTTAGCTCAAAATCTCATCTTGGACGACTATCTGGGAGGCTTTCTAAATACATTCATAAGGGAGCCGGGAAATTCATAAAGATCAGTGTTCAAAATTGATTACAAATAACATCCTTATTTCCTCATTGGGACATGATTAAAGAAAGAAGTCTTGTCATTACTTCTCCCTCATTGCAGAATGTAATTCCTGTTTTATTGTCCACAGCGCATGGTTTCATCGAGGGTTTTTTTGTTGTTGTTAAGTGGGGATTGCGACAGTCGCCTGTGATGTGTTAACCAAACGCACCTCTCTTTCTGGGAGTCTTCCACTTTGGGACCTCTATGTGAACAAATGCGGGAAGGGTTTGGTCACCAGATCCGAGCTGGGGCGGGGCGGGGCGGCTTGCCAGTGCCCGGGAAACAGGCTCCACTCACCCTGCCCGAGCGAAACTGGCTGGCTTGCAGCAGGCACAGCGCCATGCACACACCTGGGCAGAGCGGGGCGCGCAGCCGGCGGAGCGCGCACGCCGGGGTCTCAGCCGCGCGTGGCGGCGGACCACAGGCACCCGAGCGAGGATCAAAGGCGTCCTGCTGGGGACTCCAAGCCATTGCTGGAAACAACGTCTTCTGCTTGAGCTCGGCCAGAAAGCGGTGCTGCTGTCTCACTAGAAATCGCAGGCAGGCGACAATTCTACAGCTTCCCTGAGAAAGGTGCCATTTGGCTTTCTTGATCAAGCTAAGCTTTAGCTCGCGGGTAACTGCGAGGAGTCTAGCGTCCCGTAGAGCTCAGGCCCGTCGCGTAGGCACGACGAGGGCGAAGAGCTCAGCTCTAGGCCTTGGCAGGACGACGGCGGCGCTGCCACCTGCTTCCTGGGGTCGCAGTCTCCCGCGACCGAAGTTCTGCTCAAGGGTCTGGCGGGTTCGCGAACTGGAGGCGGAAAGGCTCTACTCACGCCGTCCGGGGCGGTGCCGCGGACCGGCCCAGCGTAAGGGTGGGAACGGAAGCCAATAGGAAGCCGGTCATGATGGATGGGCGGGGTCTGGGGGGCGGGGCCTGGAGTGGAGGGCGGGGTCTTCGGCGGGGCGTGCGGGGGCGGGACGGAGTCGACTCCAGTGGGACCCCAGAGACCGGCGCCTTAGCGGCGGACCCGGGTCTCGGAACCTCTCTGTGGAGGCAGCGTCGAGGCCCAGGCAGGTAGGCGCTGGGCGGTCCCCGGCGGGGTCTGAGGCCGGTTGGCGTCGCCCGCTGGGCGTCGGGCGCGAGGCTGTGGGGTGGCGCCGCGCGGTCGGCGGGGTGTCGGGAGCCGGGCTGGCGGAGTCATAGCACCCGCGCGCCCGGCATTCTCGGCGCCTCCCGGGCCTCGACCTGCGCCCGCGACGCCGGGGCCTCGGGAGACGCTGTGCGAGGGTGGGCGGGCCGCGCGGGTCCCTGGACCCAGCGGTGCTCGGCAGTCCAAGGAAGACCCGGGGCGGGGGAAAGGCGGGCTCTCGCCGGGCTTAGCCGGCGAGCTGGAACCTGGGCATGCCGAGACGATGGACTTCAAAACAGTTGGTGTGCTTTTTTGTGTTTGTGTGCGTGTGCGCGCTTGGATTCAGAACAGACTCTGACAAGCACCGCAGTGAAAGTCGCTAAGTAGGGTTTTAATTTAAAAATCTGACCCAAGAGGATTTGAGTAACTAGCGCACGGAAGATGATTAAATAATGAGTCAAAAGGCTCCGGTGCCAGCCGACATTCCAGGTGTAACTTTTCTGGGCTTCTGCTTCCCTGATTGTAAAAGTGGCGTTCGGGGGGTCATATGATATGAGGGAGAGAATTCTGCCCATGCCAGGCATTAATATTTGTGCACCCGGGGCATGCATGTTTTGTAAAGCAACTGCTAAGAGCCTGGCACACAGTATGCACGCTGTAAGCCTCTACCCTTCAAGCTAGTGATTCATCTATAGTGTGTTAGATAAAGTGTTGAATTTCTGTTTACTTTGTAAACAAGTTGCTGAAGCTCTTTTCTTACAAAAATCACTCTTTTTTTTTTTTTTGTAGTGTGGTCTATTTTTAAACTGACTCATGAAAATTTCTAGGCTGGGCACATATCTGTATACTGTTGCTGGATCATTTACCATGAAGTTTGGTGGCAATCAAAGAAATCTACTTTGCCTCAGGTAAACAGTTGTAGTTTAAGGTACCTGGTAAAGTAAACTAGCAGTATCGCTTCAGATTAAGACTTTCATTTGTTTTTGTAAATTGAGGGACTGCTCAAAGGAAGATCTGAGCCTTCCAAAACAAAGTTAACATACGACTGTTTTTTGTACAGTCTTTATTACAGACATTTGTGTTCTTTAGTATGGGTCTGCGTGTCCGGAGTTTTAGGGGGGCGATGGGAAATAAAAGAACGAATAGCAGGTTTCTACTGGTGATACTTACAGGAGTGTTCCAGAGTAATTTCCTAGGCAGAAATCAGGAAATGTACTAATTGCGTCTCTTGGCCTTTCATTAGGTTGTGTGTGTGTGTGTGTGTGTGTGTGTGTGTGTGTGTTGAGTGTGGCAGAAGTTTTTTAGATGTATAAATAAAGCAAAAAATTAATCTTTCTGTTCGACAACAGGCAGTTTTCCAAAGCTGGATGTTACATTCCTTTTAAATGACCTGTATTGCATCTTATGTTATAGGCAAGAATTTTAAATCCCTGAGTAGCAAGATCAAACTGAATGGAGAACTAGTGGGAATAATTTCTGTACTATTGTACAAGTTTTACTTAAACATTTCAGCAGTTCAGTGGGATGACGGGTGTCTTGAAACTAAAAACACCACTTTTAAGCATGTACTTCTTAATAAATTTTGCTGTGAATTTATAACTTGTTGATCTTACAGGTGTAAACCTTACATTTACATTATTTAATGAGCACTTATGGTGTCCCACAGTACAGTTTTAGTACTTAATCGTATTCACATATGACAAGAATGTAATTTCTTCTGTCTGGGAGCTAACATTCTATCAAGTGAGCTAAAATAGTTACTGAAAAATTGTTATGAACACTGGTTATAACAAGAACATCAACTAGCATCAACCTGAGCCAGGCAGCGTTCTAAATTTGTTACATGTATTCAATTAAATAGTAATGCTATTATTATGATCTCTTCAATTCATTGGGAATAGAGAAATTGAGTGACTTGCCAGTGACCAGGTAGCCTAAGTAGCAGAGATGGCAGTCAGGTACCAAGTCCCTGAGCTTAACCTCTGCACTATACCAAACTTCAAATTCTGTGAGATGCAAGTGATAAATCCAGTGGGTATTTAAAAGAGAGGTCTATGAAAAACTTCTTTTAAAAGTGGGGGATGGGAAGAGAGGGAGAGGGTAGAGAGAGAGACAGAGGGAGAAAGACAGAGAAACTGGTATTGCAAGACATAGACGAAGGCATGGCCAACGTACAATGTAATTACACTTTGTATGTAAAAACTTTTTTTTTGTTGTTGGTGAATGACATGGGATTCTTTTTGTTTCTAAGCTCCCAGTCACTCAAGAAGTGTAATCATGGCATTATCTTAGCAATATAACAGGTGTTTATTTCTTAATAAAGAGTTTAGACTATCTGTTCTCAAACCATAAATTAAATGTTAGATACAAGGAAAAAAAAGCACCACGCATGGTGGAGTACACCTGTAATCCCAGCATTCAACAGGCTGAGGTGGGAGTACCGTGTGTTTGAGGCCAGCCTAGACTGTCTAGCGAGACCCTGTCTCAAAAAAACCAACCAACCAACCAAACAAAAAAATCCCAAAGGGCTGGAGGTGTGGCTCAAGCAGTAGAGCGCCTGTCTAGCAAGTGCAAAGCCCTGAGTTCAGACTTTAGTACTGCAAAACAAAATAAAACAAAACAAAAAGTCCTAGGGTTTCAGTGTAATAACAGAGGTATAGAGTTTAATAGGGAACGCTAATGAAGAAAATTTATTCTATATGTGATAGGGAGGGTTGAAGAAAAGATACCTTACTTGAAGCTGGCTTTGGAGGATGAGTTTGTTGAGATGGGGAAGATATGAATGAAAACCAGAGATCTGTATTTGAGGAATGTGTTATAGTCACTGAAGTCTAGAGATACAGAGATGGGTGGTTGGGCTAAAATGAAGAATTCCTGGAAGTAATGTAGAAAAAGGAAAATCCAGAGCATGGTTGCTGACCACGTTAGGACCAGCGCAATTGCTAGGGTAAGGGTGGAGATTCAGTTCCCCTCATTTGGAATAATGAAGTGAGTGATTAGTCCAGTTAGACAAAATCTTTTGCTATGAATGTGGTATTAAGGGTACTTTTAATACTTTGAAGTACTGGGTATTTTTATGAAATAACATCAGATTTAGGTAAATAAAAAATTATGATTCAGAAAAACAAAAAAAGGGTGCTGGTTTCAGGTATGGAGAGCTTATATATCCTACTGAGGACTTTGGGCTTGATTCTAAAGATGATGGAGAGCCTGAAAAGGGTTTTAGGTCATTAGGAAAGATAACATCAGTGATAATGAAGTGTGGAGGTTGGTTTAGAAGAGAAGCAAGAATTAGGGAGATAAGCTAGGAGGCTTTGCTACTGAATAGTCCAGATAGGAGCAGATAAGTACCTGGAGTAGGACATTTGTTATAGAGGTGGAGAGAAGAGGATAGACAGATGATGGTGTGGAATGGGGAGCACTTAAAACTCAGTTTGTTCTGAAGGAAAAGAAAAGTAAATGGTTTAGTATCTTAGTTTGGAAAAGTATGGATAAAGGATCTTGGGTTTTTTTTTTTTTTTAATCTGGGATTATGAGCTCCAGATCTTGTACTTATCTAGGCAAGCACCCTACTACTTGAGCCACACCTCCTAGTCCTTATTCTATCTTTTAATGTGGGAGGGGGAAGATAATTGTTTCATCTTTGAACTTGAGTTTGAAGTATCTATGGAGTACTGAGAGGGAGATGTCAAGATAGGAGCCATGAGGTGTGAGGTCACTGACAGGAAAGTCAAAGAACAGATGACACTGCACCCTGGGGATTTTTCTAAACCCAGATTTATAGAAAGTGAGAATGTGTAACATAGATGGAATTTTGTTTTCTGTAGTAAAAAAAATAATGCAAAAAAAAAAAAAAAAAAAAGAAGATAGATCCAGAGCCCAGAAGGTTGGTTGGTGATTCAGATTTCAGAGTTAGCCAGTAAGTGTTCATGGAAGCCAGAAGAGCAGGTGAAATTGCTCAGGAAGAGCATATAGAATTGAAAAGGACCAAGGATAAATGGTTTGCTCTGTATAAGGAAAAGGATCAATTATTTACTCAGGATGATTTTCTCATAAATTGTTATTATAAAGCAGTGAAATGCTCTTAATTGAAAATTAAGCAACTTTTCCATTCATGTGAGTTCTGTTGTTTTAAAATTTCATTTGGAAGTCACTCAGTTATCCAGAGGTACGTTGTTCAAAGTATTATTGGATCCTTCTTTCAAAAAACTTGATAGCAAATTCACAGCCACATAGGAAAGTAGATATTCTAGCTTTATGATAAAATTATTTTTACTCTCCTTTCTGTTTTCATGGCATATGTATACCTTGAGGCAAACCTTTGAAAACATGACTATCCTGTCACTTGATTGTTAAGTCAAAGATAGAGCTTTAAAAAACAAACACACTTTGTCTTCTGTGAATTTAGATTATCAGTAAAGTATTCTGGTTCATTAATCTTGATAACCAGCCTTACTCATTCTTGACCCCTAACTGCTTAGCCATTTCTACAGTTCATATTCGTCTTCAAAGAATGAAGGTTTGCCACCACTAAGGTACTCAAAAGAATGTGTTACAGTTTTGAAGGCATTTTCAAAACTTTTAAAAAATTTTCTCTTCATTTGTAGTATCATTAGTATACTAAGGTAGAGGTACCAAACTTCTGTTCAGGGCTAGATAGTATTTTAGACTTTGTGGACCAGTCTTTCCAGGGCTGCTAAGAAAACTATCAAAGAGAGTAGGTGAAGCATGGATAAGCATGGGTTATGTTGCTGTATAACTTTATTTGTAGACATTGAAACTTGAATTTTATATAACTTTCACTTCACAAAATGTTATACTTCTTTGATTTTTCTCCCTCCAACCATTTAAAAATGTAAAAACCACTTCTAACTCACAGGCCTTACAAAAACAGGCAGTGGGCCAGTTAGCCCACAGAGGCAGGCCATAGTCTTGCAACTGTGTCCTGGGGGATATTCTTTGAAATACTTGTGTTTGTAAGTTTAGTTTTTTTTTTTTTAAATCGTGGTTCTTTAAGGTTATTCCTTGTTTTTCTAAATTCTAGTACATATCCTAAAGCATCGGGACATTTTTCATTGATCCTTCATTTCTCATATAGAGTAAAAGGAATATTCCCTTTATCAGTTTGGAACCTGAGCTACAGAAGAACAGATGAACTTGAACAATAGCAGAATAAAAAATACAGTTTTTGCTTTGTTTTGTGGGACTGGGGATTAAACCCAAGGCCTCCGGCATGCTAGGTGAGCGCTCTACCACTTGAGTCATGCCCCCAGCCCTTACTGATTTTCAGATAGAGTTTTACTTCTTTTGCCTGAGTTTGCCTTGAACTCTATCCTGCTTCTACCTCCCGAGTAGTTGGGATTACACATGCATACCATCCTGCCCAGCTAAAATCATGTTTGAAAATATTTTTCAATACTCAGTACTCCTTAGTAAGCCAATAAAATAGTGATTTTTTTTTTTTTTTGTTTCAGTGAAAGTGGAGGCATTGAAACTGGGGTGAAATAAAGGATCCTAACTTGGAGTATCCTTGGAGTATTTCAAAGGGTTGGATGAGATGGGTCTTTTAAAATCTTTTTCTTTTTTGACTTGAATGAATACTTTTTATCTTAAAGAAAAGAAAGTTTTGTCTTCACTTCGTAGGCATTAATAGAAGGTTATAAGATTGAAGGGTTATATAAATGATGGTGAGATAAGAAAATGAAATTCAAAGAAATTATTTTTTCACATCTAGGTATCCCAGGTGTTCAGCCCACTTTCAATGAGGAAATTCAAGATTTTTTTCCCTTATAAATCTTAAACTCCTTCTTCGCAGCCTGAAAAAAATTTAAACATTCAGTTTAGCATTATTAATCCATTTGGGTCTCTTCCTTTTCTCTTTGAGTACTGAGGCTTGCACTCAGGGCCT